TTTAGCTCACCGGACGAGAAAACAAATGGAAGACTAATTGCAAGGAATCATAGTGGTTACGTTAAGTCAGTTCGCTACTATATGGTTCTTACAAAAATCTGCGTTTTTTGTGGAAACCCAGTTATATTTTTTCAGGTATTGTAAAAAGGCACGGAATGCATATAATATGCAGATATATGTATATAAAATAATTATATACTAAAATATAGCGTTACTTATGATATTTAGTTTCTTACTTCTACGAAACACGAATTCGCGATTTGTGACTTAAACCGAGATACATTGATTGAATTTGAATCACTGGAATGATTGACTTACATCACTATGATGGCGGTAGAGAGAGAAAGAGAGACGAAAAATGTGAAGGTAACATCAAGAAAGGAAAAAGAAGATAAAGAAGGGTGAAATGCACAAACAAGTCCAACTGTGTATAGGAAATACTGTATAAAAGTTTTTGTAAGACAACAGAAAGGGGAAAGGTGGAAAATAGAGGGGCAAGAAAGGAAAACGAAGAGGGACAATGCACTCGAGAGCAGAATAACAGCGGTATTCTCAAACGAACATTCGTCCAGCACTGTTACGTTGAAGAATATAGGGTGTCACAACGTTTTTCCACAAAACGAAGATATTCCATGAATGAAAAAGAAAAGAACAAAAAACATCACATAAAACTTACGTTAAAAAATTCTAATAAAAATACGAAATACACGCATACAAAAGGAACTGACTTACTACACTGTGAGATAAAAATACGTTTACAATCAACATAATCATTAGTTAACATTTCATCGCTTTTGCCAACAGGAAAGTCACAGTGATCAAAAATTCAGTTAATCATAAAGCTCATTGAACCAAAGAATGATTCGATGAACCAATCAACTCACAACATGTATCAACACCTGTTTGACATACCTTTGTTTTCTCGAATACGAAAGTTCAAGACGATGTTGTGAACGTAAAAATATCATCTCCCTTGTACTTTTACTACGAATTTTTAATGAAACCTTAAGTGACTTATGTTTTTTTTTTTTTTTTTTTCTTTAATTAACGTTTTATTCGTAAAATACGGTGATTTTGTGGAAGAAGCCTAAGACACTCTGTATACACGATGACACACGTACACACACACACACACACACATACACACACATACACAGAGAAACACACGTCTGTACATTCTCTATGTTTTATAAGAAACAAAAAAGGAAACAAGAAAAAAGAAAGAAAGCAAGATCCAGAAGAACGTATGAAAAACGTGCGTGCCCTAACATCGCGGATGCGACGATTAGTAAGGGAGATCCTAT